CCCGCCCTCCCTGTGCCCGGGCACTAACGACTGGAGGAGGGGAAGACTCCCTCACTGTCCTACTTTTTCTGCCAACCCATCAAAAACATGTTTGGATCTTGTATAGTTTAGTCCCTCCTCAGTACAAACACAAAGATAGCAGTTGTCATAGTATTAAAGAAAAAGGTTTTATTTATAGAAGGACTATGTGATTTAGTTCTATATGTGTGTATGCCTATGTATATATTTTTCCCCCATTTTTGTTCTAGGCGTGTCTCTCTTCTTAACCTTGTGATCGAATAACCACCTTTTCATTTTGGAGAAGAAAATATAATGTGTTTAAATGAGATTGCATCATGTTTATACGGTGGTATAGTGGAGAGAGCACTTTCTTGTCTAATTGAAACTCTACCCTCAGTTTCCTCATCTGTCAAGTGGGATAATCATCCCTATGTTACATTATTATTGTGAAGATTAACTGGGGATTAGTGGTGGACGGTAAAGCTTTCCACAATGGCTGTGCCTTATTCATATAGAGAGATTATTTCAGGGAAAAAGATATGTCCTTCACATACCCATGGAGTGGTAATCCTGAGGAGAGAAAGATTCTGCTAATATGAGTTCAGATAACTGGGAATAAACACTTACTGGGTCCCTGCTAAATGCGAGTCCACAGGTTCTCTCCTGTAATCTTTGTACCCATCCTGCGAGTATTATTACTTTCTGTGACTTACAAATGGAGGAGCTGAGGCTCGGGTTGAAAGCATGCACACCTCTGTGGAGTCCTGGCTTTGCCCTTGGCTCCCTGTGTGATCACAGACAAGTTGCTTAACCTCTCTGAGCCTCAGTTTCCTCCTTGGTAAGACAGATCAGTGGTTGACACGAAGAGTGGTTCGTAGGTATGGCCGGCCATGCTCTTCCCACTCTCTGCAGAGATATGTTGGGTGGCATGGGATGGCTTGTAGCTTTTACCTTCTTCTACCATCTCTTCTGTGGACAGCAGGCAGGTTTGGATCAAGCTGCACCAACTTAAAAGGGACTCCTCAATAATGATGACAGCAGATAACCCACATGTCAGTACTACAGTGAGAGTGAGACCCACGGCAATGGCCCTTTGACTCGGATAACTGAGTCCAGGGAGGAGAAACGGGTGTGTTCCTAGCTCCCCTGCCACACCCGCACTCTGCCTGCTCCCCTGCCACCCCCGACTCTGCCTAAGCACCAGGAAGTCATGTGCCATCCCCAAAAGTGTTAAAACAGTAGGAGCACACAGACTGCTCAAAAAGATGTTTGTAGGATTGAATTACCTTAATGATCTAATACCATTTTTGGATAAGCTGGATGTTCTCATCTACACTATAGAAAACTGAAAGGTGCTCGTTTGCCTGTTTGCAGATGACATGGTTATATTGTCTTAGGCTGGGCAAGCTTTGACAATAAACTCTGGCCCAACTTAATAGCAGAAAGAAGGGTTGCAGATGGCCTGTTCTAAATCACAGTTCTCACTGTGGATTTTGAGCTCCTGATAGGCAGGAATCTATAGGAAAGAGTAGGCTGCCCAGGGTAGTTACAGCATGGGCCACTTCACCACCACCCGTGCTGTCCTGAGATTTGGAGTTGGTTTAAGTCAGTAATGACATTAAGACTTTTACATGTAATGCTCACCCCGACGCCCCCGTCCCCAAATATGTAGTTAGTCAAAGTTCTGCTCTGGTTCAGGTTCTCAGAGTGTGGTCCCAGCACCAGCTGCAGGAGCATCACCTGGGAAGTTGTTGGAAAGGCAAACTCGCAGCCCCACCCTGTCAGAGACTCCAGGGATGGGGCCCAGCAGTTGTGTTTTCAAAAGCCTGCAGGTGATCGTGGATGCAGGCTGAAGCTTGAGCACCATTGCCTTGCCCTCCTTCCTGAAGCCCTTCCGTGGCATTTCTCCTATTACAGCAGGTGAGGTCTGCCATCTGCCTTAGCCTAAGTACCCTACTGGAAAGTCAATACATTCTGTACCTGGATTTATATTTGCCAGGGAGTTACATTGTTCAAAGCCACAGGTTCTCTGACTGCTGCTGTAGTTTTTTCATGGCCAGAGTGGGTGTTTGGTTACACATGCTTCAAATACTTTCCAAGTCGAAGTCATTGTGGCCACGCCCTGTGGTGCAGGCCTCTGGGTCTTCATCCCCCATTTGTCTTTGTACGAGACTAGACCCCAGATCCTATTTCCAGGAGCTTCAGCCCAGCCACCAGAGGTTCTCTCTGCCCTCCCCTGGTTTTGGAATGGGCCTCTCTCCTTTTTCTGAGAGGTAACCATCCTGTCCCTCAACCCCTTGCCTGCTAGTTCTGAAGAGCTGGTCTGTTTTGTCTGTGGGCGCTGCCTCTAGAAAGTGATGGAGGCAGATCTGTGTCCCGTTTGTAGCAAGTGGCCAGGCCCGTTAACCTTGCACTGTTTGTCCTAATCTCACTTGGTTTTATCTTTTCTTTCCATTGTTTCCCCTTTGTCCCTATTTTCCCAACTGCAGACTTACTTTTTATTTCATCTTATTTTGTATTCTGTGGATTTTTGCTGACTGCCTTGATTGATTTTGGAAGGAAGCAGTTTCAATAAATAAAACTGAATACTTTTTGTTATGAGATACAATGGATATGAAACAATTAGCATTAATTAAGTGATGTCTTTTAAGTGGCCATGTACACCTAGGTCTGTCTGATTCCAAACCCCCTGCTCCTTCACATATCATATGGGCACAGAGTCAGTAAAAACTTTTAAACCCACAAAACCAACATGACTGGGAATCCAGGGTGAGTTAGACAGCCAGATGAAGGAAATTTAGGCAGACTAGACAGAAGGCCCTTTAGCAGGTGTTAAGTCTTTCCTCAATGTAGTCACAAATCAGCAACTCCAAAAGTGGAGTAATGAAAACTATGGCATGAACAATCTTCTCGTGAGGTTAGAGATGCCCCAGAAACACTGAATTAAAGAAACTGGTTACGAGGCAGTGGTGGATACACTGCAATTCTGTTATTGTTTGAGTGGTAAACTTTCCTTAGTTTACTTTGTAATTTAAAGTTCAAATGCACTTTGAAAAGAATGGGTATACAAGGTTTTCATAGATACCCCTACTTCTGAATTACCTTTAACCCGAGTTGGCTTGGATGGTGGTCTCAGTGAAATCACATTGGGCGTCTGATATGCTCAGCATGTGACCTTAGCCTTGTGGCAGGTGGAAAGCCCAACCCCCCATTCTGCAAATGCAGAAGAGGAAAGAGGGTACTGATGTCACCATTTATTGAAAATCCACTGCGTGCCAGCCAGACACTTAATAAACTTTTTCCTTTTTCTCTAATCTTCACAACAAGTCTAGGGAAGGCAGGCTTAAAGTTTTCTATAATGTGGTGCTAGATGTTAATCCCATCTTTAACTTGGATAAGAATTTGAAATACACTGGAACTTTTTAAAATTTGAGTATGAAAATGGGAACTGAGCAGAACTTACATTAAAATGGGACTTGATCGTTCTTGCTAAATCCCCACTGATTAAGAATCAAGTGCAATAATGGATATAAAAGCACTTTGTACTATTATACTTTTGTACAATGTAAGAGACTATTGCATAAATGGCATTTCAGTGGCTTGACAACTTTAAGGGTCTCTAGTTAATAGGGAATCATGTTTGAGCTATTCACTAAAGTTAGAGAATCTAAAAGTTATCTTTGTCAGGTCAAGGTGGAAGCTACTCTAGAAGTCTCCTGGAATTAGAGCAGCATGTGTCGGAAATGGACCTATACATCTGTGAAACACAGATAATTAGCGTGTGAAGATGGCACATTAGCACCTAGTTAGGTCTCTCTTGGATCTGAGCAGTATTTTAAGACTATAGATCTAGTTCTTGGAAATGCTACCATGAGAAGGAAGGAGGTGAAATGTGTTTACTGAGTGATGGGCATATAACTTTCTGGGGCGATGCCCTAATGGTTTGTATTAATAGAAGGGAACAAGTATGTGCTTGACATGGACCATTTCTCCAAATAGATCCTGTCTCCTGCCTGGTCCCTGCTTCCTGCTCTCGTCTGCCACATGTCTTCCTCTCTCCCATGCCTCTACACTTTTTCACCAGTGTTGAGCTGTCATTGATCAACCCCTCTAAACATTCTTGGTACCTGAGATATACCCTGATGTTATGCTGGTAGCCCAGTGCCCCTCCCTGCTCACATATGCAGAGCAGGGGGCTTCTGCATCTAGATCTCTCAAGCCTGTCTCTTGGGCCTATTCCAGATCCTTGAACATTTATGGCAGAGACTTGTCTAGTCTTAAAGATGTGCTAAAACCCATATCCTCAAGTGAAAAAAAATATTCGTCTAGCCTTAAGAAAAAATAAAACCTAAAACCAATCTCCTCTTGGTGCATGTTAACATTGTGAAGTGATGCTTGGGTATGATGGCTCCCTTAAAGCATTTTAATGGAAGGTGAGATTTCAGGAGTCTTTGTTTCCCAGTGACTTGTAATGACTTTTTTGTGTGTTCTCCTAAGTTCATTTCATTTTGAAGTAAATTTACCCTCACCCCCACTTTCAGGCCAATCTGGGTAAAGAATGTCTTGTTCCAAGTTAGTGGTTACAAACTATGCTTAATTAATCCTTCAGCCAGCAAGTTAAGGATCATACAGGCTCTCAGTTTCTCCTCTCTCCTGTTTTAAAACGACCCTTAGTTTGCACTAGAAGGAGGGCAATGGAAATCATGGGTGGGGGACTACCAACCCCACTGCCCATTTTACTCCATATGAGCAGATCTCATGACCAATTGAGCAGGTAAGATTACGGACCAAAAGCATGGGGATTTTCATAGGGTCTGCATTTTCTCATCCCCGTCAATGCTAACAAATCAAGAGTGAATATATGAATTTTACTCTGGAATGGAGGCCTTCTTCAAATTCATGTAATTAAAAAAAGATAATTCTTGGCTTTCTGTGTCTCACACCAAGTATAATGACTGTGTATCTTTGTTTTCTCCTTCCCCTCGCCTCTGGGCACGTAGCACGTGTGGAGTGAGAGCGAAGACTGCCTGCCTTTCTTGCAGCTAGCACAGGATTACATCTCCTCCTGCGGCAAGAAGACGCTCCATGAAGTCTTGGAAAAAGTCTTCAAGTCTTTCAGACCTGTAGGTGCCTGCTTTGCTTCTAAAGCCGTCTTGTTTTCTACAGTGATTGTGCTTTGAATAACATGGATTGTGAGGAAAGTGGGCAAAACCTGGGATGACTAATTGTTTTTCTCTGGTCTGCCCTGTGGCTTAAAGATAGCAGCTAGTGGAGGGAGGCTGAGGGTGGAGAGGGAGGGGGACTGGGATGTGACACAGCTGTTTGTTGCAGGGAAGATGGTTATTTCTAGCATCACTTGAGTTAAGAATCTGTGATAGGGTGGGAAGCAAACAGAGCCTTTATAAGACCACTGAGTATTCCTGTTCTCGTCCAGCAGATCTAAAACCAGAATACTTGGAGGTGCTTGGGAGGTTCTCTTATAATAGGCAGGCCTATATTTGGGGAATTTCCAGAAGACCATATAAAGGAGTTACCTCCTTTACCCATTTAACCCAAGTTACCCTTTACCCATATATCTGTGGGTATGGAGAAGGATGAAATTGGATATAGGTTCTATTCTTTTCTCTTTTTATAAATTCTCTTGTAGAGAGCTGGCTCACCCTCCCCACCCACCCACCACCGGAGGATTTAGGAAATCTGTATGTCTGTGGCTATGTGACAGTTTCTTTTCATCCTAGCTGAAAAACTTGTAAAATGAAGACTCGCCCCTATTTTGTAGATTACCTATTTCCCTTTATCTTTATTGGAAGATAAAGTCAGATTACCAATGTCATGACACTTCCCCCAAGTTCAATTCCCCACCCACTGTAAATACTCTACATGGTGAGTGATATTTGCTCTAGAATATCTATTTATTTCTTTTTCAAATCTTTTAAAATGATATCTACTTCTCTACTGAAATTTTCAAGCTTGTGTCTTATTTCTCTGAACATAGTAGGTTTGGTTGCGTAATAGACTGTCTGATATTCCAATATTTCAAGGTTTGTAAGTCTGTTTTGTTGTCTTTTGTTTCAACTGCTTCTCACTCCTGGTATCTTGTTTCTTTGTGTGTTGGATTATCTCTATGTGCTGGTTATTGTATTTGAAAATTTATATATAGGAATAAATTGAGGCCTAAGATGATGGTACCTTCCTCCAGAGAGGATTTTTATTTGCTTCTGCTGGGGCTTGAGGGCTCTCTCAGTCTGAGACCATATTCAAACAATTTAAGACTTGTGGCTCTTGGGACTCTCCAGGTGGTGACAAGCCAGGTCTGGTTTCTTCTAGTTCGTCCTTGTCCTGGGAACAGTCTTAGTCTGTTCAGGCTGCTATAATAAAATACCATAGACTGAGTGGCTCATAAACAACAGACATTTATTTCTCACAGTTCTGGAAGCTGAGAAGTCCAAGATCAGGGTGCTAGCAGATTTGGTGTCGGGTGAGGGCCCACTTCCTAGACAGACGGCCATCTTTTCACTGTAACCTCACATGGTGGAAGGAGAGAGATATCTCTAGCGCCTCTTTTATAAGGGCACTAGTCCCATTTATGAGGGCTCTACCTTCAAGACCTAATCGCCTCCCAAAGGCCCCACCTCCTAATACTATCACCTCGAGGGTTAGGATTTCAACTTACGAATTTGGGGAGGACACAGACATTCAGACCATAGCAAAGGGGTAGGCCTTTGAGGTCCCAGCTTAAAATGGGGGTGGTTTATCACAGTCTGCCCCTTTGGAAGACCCTGGGTTTGACTTTGATCCCCCTAGCTCTTAGAGTAGGCCAAGAATGCAGTAAAGTTGCTAGCTGTTTTTTCTAGGTCAGCTAATGCCCTCAGGACAAAAGCAGCTTTTTATGTTAGGTTTACTTCTCTAGGTTCTAATTCTTCAATATATTTAAGAAGGCGTTTTTCATATTTAATCCAGCTTTTTTAGTTCTCTGCAGAAGAGTTGGTCCCAATCATTTAATTCTCCATTATAAGAAATGGAATTTCAGTGGCTTTTGTCACTTGTCTTGATTTGTATCATCCATCCAGCCAATTCATTTTTTTGTTGTTAATTATCTAAGCCTGTTTGGCTCATTCAAAATAGTTTTTTGACTTAAAAATATTGGCCTATCCCACTTTCATTCATTAAATATATATTTACTGAGGACCCACGAGGCACTTGGCACTATTACTGCTCTGTTCTGAGCACTTGAATCAAACAGCTTACATTTTAGTGGCAGGGAAGACGAGATAAATAAGTACAGCATATAGTGTGTTAGTGATGAGTGCCAAGGAGAAAAAAAATAAGTCAGGGAAAGGGGGTAAGAAGTGTCAGAGGTACTGAAAGCTTTGACTCGGGGGGCAGGGAAGGCTTCTCTGAGAAGGTGACATTGGAGTAAAACTTGAAGTAAGGTGTGAGCCACCAGGAGATGTAGGGGAAGATCCAGGTAGAGAGAACAGCAGATACGGAGGCCATGGAGCAGGAGGACACCAGTATTCGAGGACAAGGAGGGCTGGTGTGGGTGGAGGGGGCAGGGGGAACAAGAGAGTCTGGGAATTTCAGGGGCTTGCCGGTCACAGGAGGACCTGGGCTTTTCCTCTGGTGTGATGGGGAGCCACTGGAGGAGTCTGAGCACAAGAGGGATCTGACTTCACATTTTGAAAGGCCCCTCTGCCTTTGGGCTGAGAATAGGCTGTGCGGGGAGGGTGGGAGCAGGGAGACCAGCGAGGAGGAAGCCGTTGCTGTCATCCAGGCGAGAGGCGGTGGGGCTTGGACCCGCGTGGGGACAGTGAAGGTGGAACAAAGGGGTCAGATTCTGGAGGTGCCTTGAAAGTAGACGTAGCTGGGCTTGCTGGTGGATCGGAAGTGGGGGATGAGAAGAAGAGAGAAGACAGGAGGACTCCAGAGTTCCTTGTCTGTGCAACAAAAGGAGTGGTGGTGTCATTTATTGAAGTGGGGAAGGCCACAGGAGGAGAAGTTTGGGGATGATGCTATCAGGAGCTCAGTTTTGAACATGTCAGTGTCTGAAATGCCTGTTGACATCCAAGTAGTGATACCAAGGTAGACAAAATTTTTAAAAGGTAGATTCCCCCAAATCTTAACCAGAAAAAAAATATTAGCAAATGATACGCACATTGCAGCTGGTTTCCTCACAAGGGTTCCTTTTATTAACCTGCCAGCTGGTTCTCTTTGCGTGGGCATCATCTCTGGTGGTGAGCAAAGTACCGTAGAATTGACTTACCTGGAGAAGATGAGTTCCCACCAGAACTTGTTTTGCTGTTTTTCTTTACCATGTGGCTGTACTTCAGCAACCAGAAAGCCATGCATAAACAGAAAAACAAATGCAGTCCAAAACAGTCGAGATGCATAGCTGAAAGCAGTTGGATTAGTTGAATACTGTCTTTCATATCAAGCTGCTGTGTGTCACAGAGACACACAGATTTGATTTAATGTTGTTGGGCTTTCAGGATTCATTTCTAAAGCAGAGCCTTGCATGGTGGGCAGGCAGGATGCTCACAAGGTGAGGAGGCCTTGACCCAGTAGAGCACCCCTTCTGGTGGGGAGGTTTTTGCATGCTGGGCGCCTTCTGGCTGGGCCTCCTCTCTTGAGGAGAGGCTGGTGGGAGGTACCTTCTCAGGGTTAGTGAAGGTGAAGTGCACCCGGCTTTGGGTTTCTCTCCTTCAGAATGTGCCCCAGGTGGATGAGAGGGGGTGGTACAGACCAGGATGAGGACTGCTGGAGATCAATGGAAACTCTTACCCTCTGCATCTTCACCAAAGAGTGTGTTTCTTCCCACTGCCACTGTTGCTCTGTTTGTTTTATATAAAGAGCTTTGGCTTTAGAAATAAGATGCAAGAAGGGGTCTTGTTGCTATTGTAGTTGAAAGTATTTGTTCAAGTAACGCATATACCCAAATGCTGTAAGGTTATCAAGCAGATAGACTTCAGCACATCATTTCCCTGAAAACGTGTGGTAATCTGATCAGTTCATACAGCTGCTTTTTGTTTACAGTTGGGGAAACCACTGGAAGAATATGCCCTCATCTTAGAGCAGCCTCATCCGTGGCTTTGAATCCTTGTTCTTCCTTGGCCAGCCCTTCCCCAGCCCCTGCCCTGTGCAGTCTCTCCAGAAAGATAAGGACCTGTCTGTTGACAGCCGCCTGCTGCCGTTGGGGGCATCAGTGGAGCAGTCAGTTAACTTTGCTGGAGCCTGTGCGCTCCTGCATGCGTGAGCCGAGAGTGGAGTCATCCTCTGGCCTTCCTCAGCGGTCCTGCCCGAAGGCTCTGCACATGTCAGTGCTCTGCGTCTTTTGCCGTACCAGCTCTGTAGACCAGGTGCTGTTTTTCTCTTTCTCTTGTTTGCCTTCCCCCAACTGAAACAATCAATGTCACAGTCCAAGTCCACTCCCCTCGAGAAATCTGTTGTTGGATTTGAAAAGAAAAAAAAAAGTTATTCCTTTTCTTTTTTGCCATCTTACTCCTCCTCTTTTTCCTCTACTTCTGTCACATTTTCAACAAAATGTGTCGATTGTCTGCTCTCTGCCAAAGCAAGGCTTTGGAGAGTGAGGAGCAGGGCTTAGTGCCCAGTTGCTGCCCTCAAGGAGCTGACTTTCTTAGGAGAGACAGCCACAGAAACGTACAGAGAAACTCCATGTTACAAGACAGAACATTTATTTTGGTCCAGACACTCTGCTAGAAACGTGCAGAACAAGCGAAGGAGCTCCGTTCTCTGCTCTGCTTACTCCACTTTGCTGGGTCTTTGGGGAAGCAGTTCCTGAGAGGACATTAGTGAGCGTGTACTACAGGGTGCTGTTTATGGTCTCTCCCCAGTTATGTGGGATCAGGATACCACAGTGATGAGGCATTCAGGCTCTGTGGGCAGGCTACCTGGATTCAAAGCCCAGCTCTGCCACTTGCTGGCTGTGTGACCTCAGCCAAGTTATTTGACGTCTCTGTCTCTCAGTGTCTTCATTTGTAAAATTAGGAGACGTGATGATAGTTACCTTAGGGTTGTCGTGAAGATTAGATGACACATTTCTTGTTGGGTACTTAGTACAGCACGTTACACGTGATAAGCACTGAAAATGCTGGCATTGATATGG